AATCGATCGAGTGTGATCTATCCTGTGAGGTCGATAGTGGGATCGATCGAGTAAGATCGAAAGCGGGGACTGTAGTAAAATTATACCGCAGCGCAACGAAGCAATTACGCGCCGTGGCTAACTCGAGGGCGCGTCACCAGCATCGTCATCATCATCACATCGCATTTGCCAGCAGTTGGTTCTTTCCCCCCCCGCCCCCAACCTCCTCATCACTCGAAGGGTGGTCGTATAGGTATACACACGGGAGTCCATTCGGGCGCTCCCCTATCGAGGATGGGTGCCCCCTCCCATCGTGTACCCCGGTGTTGGGTCCTAAATTGGTTGTTCAGGTGAAAACCCACGAAGTCGTTGATTGGGGTTGCCATGCCCCCCGTCAGGCATCAGTCGTTTCGGTTTGGTGCTGTCGGTTCCCAGACCTCCAGCGTTTTTTTCAATCGCGGCGTTGTGTTCCTTCATTTCGGCCCCTTGGGGCCGCTATCGGGCTCCAGGGCCATCAAGAACGGATCTGGGACGCAAGACTGCTTCCGCGGTAGCTCTGGACCTTCAGCGCAATGGAGAGAAACAAGACGGAGGTCTCTTGCGATGTCTTGCCTCTGGGTTTTTGGGTAGTGGGACGCTCACACATCGGTCCCTGGGAACGGGTCGACAGCTTTGGGGACCACGTACAGCATAGACACATTAGAAACGAATTCCGCCTGCCAGCAGGTGCTCGAGGGAATTCTCTTGTTCACTGGAGGCCCCGGGAGTCCATAGGAGTCCCGTGGCACCCTGAGAAGTCCCAAGACGATCGACGAAGGTGTGCCTGCATTTCTTGTAGCATGATTTATGTCTTCGTGTGCCCAGACATACTCCGTCATGTTTTCTTCAATCCGAGACCCCTTCCCCAGGGGTAGTTAGTTTGCGTGCCAGATCCATTATTGAGGGTCCCCTTCCCGATGGCGGCCCCCAGGGGCCGAAATGAAGGAGTCTAGGTTGGGAAACCTATTCGTTGACGAGCCATGCCGTGGCCAGGAAAGCCCTTTCGTTCCTTATCTGGCGTTCCTCCCAGCCCCCGACGTCATGATGTTTTCATAACGTCGACCCCAATGGTCTCGACTAATTCTCTGAGACCGGCTTTTCACCCCGAGTCGCTTTCTGACGGGCCCCGGTCCCAGCGAGGGACCCCGGAGGCCGAGAATGGCGAACAGGTGTCCGACGTGAGAATTTCCCGCGACTCTCGGGGGTTCTGGGCTTCTGGCAGGGCGACGGCCGCACCGTCGCTCGCCTGGGTGCGCCCGCTGCCGCGGAGCGGCCCGGCCCCCGGGCGCCGCGGGGCAGACCCGGGGGGCCGCAGGCTCGGCCTCCCGCCCTCGGCAGACCATGCGCCGAGCAGGCTCGGCGGCTCCGCCGGCGGGAGCGGAGTTTTGCGGTTCGCCGGCAGGGCCTCCCGGGAGCCTCCTGAGGCCTCCTGGGGCCCCACGAGGCTCCCAGGAGGCTCCCAAGAGGCCCTCGAGAGGTCCCAAGAGGCCTCCGCCGGCGGAAGCGACATTCGAGGAAGTTGGGCCTCGCCTAACCCAGACCCCCTCGAGTCCTGAAAAGATCACGACGGGAGGTTTTTCTGCATTTTCGGCCTCATGGGGGCCCTTGACGGGCCTCGGGACCGTCGGAAAACGACTCAGGACGAAAAACCGGTCACGGGGAATGGGTCGAGACCTTTGGGGGTCGACGTCATGACAAAACTGTGACGTCGGGGGTCTGGAAATAGGGCAGCGAGGGCTGCAGAAAAAAGGGGGCCTTTTCGGGCCCCTAGAGGAGCCCTTAAGGGTCCAAGAAGGGGCCTTTACGATCTGAAAAGTGCACCTTCCTCCCCCCATGATTCGCCACACCATTAAGCGACGCCCGAGGAAGAACATGTAGCATCCCGCAGTTGCAGATGAGAGTGAATGGGTGCAGGGACGTAGGCAGTCTGCGAGGCTCTGAAGAAGCCCGCCGAAGGCGCTCTTTTTTATACAAATTATGGAAGACGCCTACGGCGAATCACCGCCGCCCCCTGCCCCTTTGGAAGCGCCTATGTGGCCGACAGATGGGCTAGAGCTTGGCCAAGCTGTCGATCCAGTTGCTCCCCGAGTCGGTTTGGACAGCCTTCGGGGAACGCGTGGGGGAGCAATAGGAGGAGGATCATGAGAGGGAGGAGGATGATGATCAGGGGAAGGATGAGGATGTGGATGAGGATGAGGATGATGGGGAAGGAGGAGGAGTAGGAGGAGGGGACTTCTTGGGTACCGTCTTGCGAGGCCTCTTGGGAGGCCTTTGCGGAGCTTCCTGGGAGCCTTTTAGAAGCCTCTTGGGAGCCTCCCTGGGCCTCTTGGGGGCTTCTTGGGGGCCGTTGGGGCCGTCTTGGGGGCCTCTTTGGCCGTTTTAGGGTGTTCCCGACCCGTCTGACACCGTCGGAAGCCGTCTTGGGGGTCTCTCTGAACCGACTTGGGGCTCTCTTGGGGCGCTTCAGGGCCGTCTTGGAGAGTATCTTGGACGTCTTGGAGGTCGCCGTCTTGGGGGCCTCTTGGGCCGTCGTGCGGTCATCTTGGAGGCTTCTTGGGCGATCTTGGGGTGACCTTGGAGGCCTCTTGGGCCATCTTGGGCCATGTAGAGGCCATCTTAGGCCATCTTCGGTGCATCTTGGACCGTCTTAGCCGTCTTGGAGGCCCTCTTGGCCGTCTTGGAGGCCTGTTGGGGCCCTCTGGGGGCCGTCTTGGGGGCCTCTTGGGCCTTCATGGGGCCATCTTGGGCGCATGCGATTTTGGGGCGATCTTGGGGGCCTCGTGGGCCGTCTTGAGCCGTCGGAATGCAGAAAAAGAGCAAATACCAAAATCTTTCAAACATCTTAAGAACATCAATGATGTTGTTCTCTTCTGGTCCTCCTGGAGGACCTCTTGGAGGCCTCTTGGGCCATCTTGAGGCCATCCTGAGGCCATCTTAGGCCGTCTTGGGTGCATCTTGGGCCGTCTTGGAGGCATCTTGGGGCCATCTGAGCCGTCTTGGAGGCCATCTTGGCCGTCTCGGAGGCCTTTTGGGGCCCTCTTGGGGCCGTCTTGGGGGCCTCTTGGGCCGTCATGGGGCCATCTTGGAGGTCTCGTGGGCGATCTTGGGGGCCTTTTGGGCCGTCTTGAGCCGTCGAAATTCCTAGAAGAAGCAAATGCAAAAACAAATCCTTCACAAACCCAGGGGGAATCATTGAATTTGGCCTCTTCGGGACCTCCTGGAGACCTCTTGGAGGCCTCTGGGGCCCCGGGCCGTCTTGGGCCGTCTGAGAGGTTTCTTGTGCGAACTTGATGGCATCTTGGACTCTCCTGGGCCGTCTTGGAAGCCATTTTGGACCATCTTGGAACCTGGAGGCCATCTTAGCCATCTTGGAGGCCATCTTGCAGCCGTCTGGAGCAGGAGAAACTTGTGGAACCACTCTTTCCGGGCCATTCTGGGACCCCGGCGGGCGGGGCCGAAACCCCAGGGGGAGCTCTTTTGGAAAAGAGCCAAAACCAAAAGCGAAAGGATTCAGCACGTCGGGCACCCCTGTGATGAATCAACAGGGGGCGGCGGATCGAAGACGCCTACGGCGAGTCACCGCCACCCCCTGCCCTTTCAGAAGCGCCTATGTGGCCGAACGTTGAGGCCAGAGCCCTGAAAGCTATCGGGCCCTGTGTTCCCCGAATCGGTTTGGAAGGTCTTCCGGGAACACGTGGGGGAGGACGGGGAAGAGGACGAGAGTAAGGAATGGGCGTGTTCGGGGCCCCTTGGGGGCTTTTGTGAGCTTTTGGAGGCGTCTTGGAGGCCTCTCGGAAGCTTCTTGGGGCAATGTTGGGCTCTTAGGGCTTTCCGGGGGCTTCCTGGAGGCCTTTTGAACACCTCTTGTGGAGTGCGCCTCTTGGGGGCCTCCGGGAAGTTTCCTTGGCCGTCTTAAGGCGTTCCTGGCCCGTCTGACGCCGTCGGAAGCCGTCTTGGAGGCCTCGCTGAGCCGATGTGGGGCCCTCTTGGACCGTTTCAGGGCCGTCTTGGATGCAATCTAGGTCGTAATGGAGTTCTCTTGGATCGTCTTGGGGCCCTCTTAGGGACGTCTTAGGGGCCTCTTGGGCCGTCACGGCGCCATCTTGGAGGCCTCTTGGCGATCTTGGACTTATCTTCAAACCATCTTGGACCGTCTTGGGCCGTCGGAAGGCCGACGGGGAAGGGATCAAAGGGAAGGGGCTCCCCTTCGACTCAATTACGACGTTGCTCAATTTCGTTTTGGCTGGCGCGCTTGAGGAGGAGGGCCCAGGAAAAGGGGAGGGCGGCCACGGGCCCAGGGAAAGAGAGGGAGCGGCGACGGCGACGACGACGACGTCGACGAAGACGAGTCAAACGGAGCAGCCTCTTCCACACGCCGACGGTCGTCGGATTTTTGTTGAGTCCGCGGCCCTAAAGCTCCCGATCCGTTTCTGGAGAGTAGTTCTGCGCCCCCGATCTGTTTTGACGGCCCCCGGGACACGAAAGCGATCCCCAGAGGCGAGCAAGAATATCCGCTTAACAAGAAACGGCATAAACATTTAGTGGGAGCTCCGCGCGGATTTCTTGCAGTGGCGCTGGACCACCTGCCCTGACGCGCGCAGCGCGCCAGGGTCGGCGCCGGGGTCGCCGCCACGGGAGTCCAGCGCCGCTTCGGGAAATCCGCGCGACGCTCCGACAGTTTATGTTGATTCAGTTGTTTCTTCTTCAAGCGGTGGAACATAAACATATCGTCGGAGGTCGGAGGAGGGGGAGTTGGAAGAGGAGGCGGAGGAGGAGGAGGAGGAGGAGGAGGTGAAGGGCAAAGAGGGAGATGAGGGGGGGCGAGAAAGAGGACGATGACAACAACGACGAGGACGAGGACGAGAGGAGGACGAGGACGAGAGGAGGACGAGGGGGAGAAGGGGGATCGATGATGAGGGCGTGGACGATGGAAAGGAGGAAGAGGAGGAGCTGGATGCCCCCCCAACCACGGCGTGGTGGAGTGGCGCTTGGGGCACCCCCGAGGAGTACCGGCTGGACGTCTCGCGGGTCCTCTCGACCGGGGGCCTGGAGCTGCATGGGCGCCCCCCCCCCCGCAGAGGGCTCGAGCTCAGGGGCAGCGCGCATTGTGGAAGGGAAGTGCTCAGGGGGGTATGCATCGACTCGAGGCTCGACGTTTTGGCACGTCTTCGTCGGCTCTCGGCGGCTTCCCAACCTCGGGGTGCGTTCCGGCGGCCGCGCCACCTCGAGTCGAGGGCGTTCCAGGGCTGCCCGGATCGTCCCGAACGGCCGCCGGAGAGCCGAGCTCTGACCCGACGACCCCAAACCGGGGGCGACGTGAGGGGGGGATCTGCTCAGGTGGGGGCGCATCGACCCCCGATCGACCAGTGGTCGCCGATATCGGGGCCTGATAGCCTGATAGGCCCCCCCGCTCAGGAACGTGCGGACTCGCTCTGGGGGGCCCATCGCCGATCCGTCGCCGATGTGTCGCCAGTTCCAGCTCGGTGTTTTCTCCCTGAGCTGGTCCCCCCCGAGCGTTGCCCCTCACGAGCGCACGTGGGGTCGGAGGGTCGCGTCGCACCGCCCGTGCGTCGGCGATGAGGGCTCGATCCGGAGCTCGATCTTCGCGGACGGTTTCTCGCCCGCAGTCCCCGGGTTCCCCCCTGGCCGCTCAGAAGACAGGGGATGCCCAGGGATGCAATACACACCCTGCGGGCTACCTGGATGCACCCCGATCGATGATGGAGACCCCAGTTTGGTGATCTTGTGTGTTGTCCAGTCGAATTTCCCACAAAGTCTGAGATTGGGGTTCACACACACCCCCGTTACATCTGCCCCATCCCGACGTCGCCGACGCATCGACGATGCATGGGCGATGCGGCGCCATCTTCCGACCCCGTCTGCTCCCCAGACATCCTTCGACACGAGCTTTCTCAATCCACGGCCCCAGAGTTCCCGACCCCCTCCCCCCCGGGACCCCTGATCGAGGACGCAGTGCGTCCTGGATCAGGGGCCCGAGCGCGGCCCCCCTAGATTTCCTGCGACTTGAGACTTTCGGGTCTCGGGGCCTCGGAGCTTTCCACACACCTGGGACTGGCTTCGCGCCCCGAGTTGTTGTTTGACAGCCCAAGGGTTCCAAACAGGCCTCCAAAAGCCGAAACATGAGGAACGACAGCAGACCCTATTTTCGGGCTTGTGGATGCCTGTCCTCTGGAGCCCGAAGGGAACCCTGGGATCCGACGGTGCGAACAAACGAAGAACACAGAAACAAATCACGACAGGAGCCTCCTGGACCACATCTTTCGGCTGCAGTCTTCGAGCCTGATCGATCCGTGAGGGTCCCAGGGCCCGAAGCGAGGCAAAATCGCCCGATGTCAACACGTTGTGATCGGATTGTTAGTTCATTGTTTTGCCGATCGGCGCGGGCCCCCAACCCCCCCTCCCACCCCCCCATGGAGTAGATCTTGGCTGTTTTTTGGCGCCTGTTTCGAGCGGGTGGAGTCTCCCCCAGAGGCAGCACTCTTGCAAACAGTCGCACTAAGCAGAGGCCCGGAGCCAGAACCCCCCCCCCTCCCCCCCTTCCGCCCAATGTCGAAGCGCCGAATAAGAAAACGCTCGCATGGCGACGCCCCGATCTCAGGGAAGGAAGCACGCCGCGATTGAGACACTCGCATCGTCGGAGGCTTGGGCCCGCTCCGGCCCCGCGTGGGCCTGCGGCCCCGGCCAGGAGCGGCACGCCACCGCCCTCCTCGAGGACGCGGAGGACGGTGCTGCGCCCATCGACGCCGCCTTCCACGGCCTGCGCCCCGGCGGCAGGTACTTCGCGGCGCTGGCCGCGCGGTTTGCGAGGACCGCCACTGCCCTAAGTCGGGGGCGGACGGCACCCCTAGCCTGACACGTCGATTAGTAGATTGTCCGTTTTCGGTTCTCGAGAGGGCGCCGCGGCCGTCCTTTTCCAGGCTTGCGCTCGCCAGGTTCGGGCCCGAGGTCGCTTTCACTAAACCACGTTTTGCTACAGGGGTCTCTGTCCATCTCCGACTAAGACCCGGGCGTGGCAATTTTTGTCACACCGGGCGTGTTCGCCCGTTCCGGGCCCCATGGGGCGCCGTCACAGATCGATCCGGCTCGAGCTCTGCAGCAGAAACATGGGGTCCAGGACTCCGGTCGTGCTTTTTCACGCTGTCGCATTTCCGCCGCAAAGTCGGATCTCAGGGTGCAGCAGACGAGTCCCGTTCTCGCTTGAACCCTCTCTGGCCTGCGAGCCGCAGCCCCTGACCCAGACCGAATGGGAAAACATGCTTCTGATGGCCGCGCCCGGCCGCCTTCGCGGGCGGGCGCGTGCAAGGCGAAGACGCTGCAGTGCAGGGAGGGAGGGAGGGAGGAGGAGGAGGAGGAGGAGGAGGAGGAGGAGGAGGGCGGAGGAGGAGGAGGAGGACCAGTGCAAACCCAAAAGTCATCGACGATGTTAGAATTCACCAAGAGTAATCTTGAATCTTTCCTAAACACCATCTCTGGTACGTTGATCATGGGAATCCGTGAAACTCTTGCACATTTTGAAAACGAAAGTGCGCGGCGCTAAGGCGAGAGCCACAAAATCAATAGGGACCGCCCTCAATCCGTGAAGCTCTTGCAAATTTTCGAACTAAAGTGCGCGACGTTAAGGCGGGAGCCACATTTTGAAAACCACCCGTCTTCAATCCGTGCGACTCTTGCAAATTGTCAAACTAGAATGCCCGGCGCTAGAGCGAGCCCCACATTTTGAAAACCACCCGCCCTCAATACATGAAACTCTTGCAAATTGTTGAAACGAATGTGCGCGGCGCTAGGGCGAAAGCCACATTTTGAAAACTACCCGCCCTCCATCTATGAAGCTGTTGCCATTTTTAAGCTTCAGAGTCATAAGTGGTGAGGAAGTCTCAGGCGAATCGCCCGGGCCGCCTTAAAAACTGGCCTCGGGGTGCGACAGGGAGAACTTATGTATAAGGAAAAAGAATGGAGGAGGAGGGAGGAGGGAGAGGGATGAGGAGGAGGAGGAGAAAGGGAGAAGGGAGAAGGGAGAAGGAGGAGGAGGAGGAGAAGGAGGAGGAGGAGGAGGAGGGAAGAGGAGGGAGGAGGAGGAGGCAGGAGGATGAGGGAGGCGAGGGAGGAGAAGGGAGGGCCGAGTCCCTAGGGGCACGGGCCCTACAGGGTTGCCCTCCGCTCCCTGGCCCTCCCAGGGGCCGCTCCGCGGGGCCGTCCACAACAGCGGCTCGGGGCGAGAGCCGTTCTAGGCCTCCCAAGTAGGGTCCGAGTCTTAGCTGCCTCGGAATGTCCATGTTGAAACGCAACACGTTCCGTACAGGCTCAACATACTGGCCCACGTGTTGACGAACGTATCGCGTCAGACCTACGTCTTCAGTCTACGTGGTGAGCTCCGTATCAATACGCTACGTGTTGCGTGTTGCGTATCGGGGCAGCTAGGGTTGTAGGCCTCCCAGATGGGTTCCGAGTAGATGGTCGAGGGATTGTGCCTCCTCCCCGATGCATCGCCGATACGCTCGGATCGAGGTCATGATTGATGTCGGTCGGGGAGGGTACCCTATAATGTTCTTCATGCTTGTTGGATGTTCTTGTGCATCCTGGGGGAGGGTACCTTCGAGCGATCTTATGGTTTGGGGTGTTTTGCTCGGCGGAGGATCTCAAGTTCTTGAAGGATGTTCTTCAGTCCTTGGTCCGACCGTAGATGGGGTCGAAGGATGGTGCCATCCGAGGCTTCCCGGAGGGTGTCCGAGTACAGTCGAGGTTTTGATTAAGAAACATCCTCCCGAAAAGTTGGGCCGGCGTTTTTTGATCAATTTGCCAGAAATTTGGCCCAGTTTTGGTCACGTTCGCTCCTCACGTTTGAACATGAGACATTGGCCCAGGTTCGTGTTTTCGGAAACGGCCGGGAAGATGTCTCATATTCTTTGGGTGATCATGTTCTTGGTCATATTTTCGGTTGTAGATGGGCTGCGTGAAAGGATTGTGCCGCCTCGCCGATGTATCGCCGATGCATCGTTGATGCATCGGCGGCGTTTACGATGAATTGGCGACATCGGCGACGTCGGCGTGGAGACAGGCGGGCTCCACGTCGAGACTCATCGCCGATGCATCGGCGATGCGGATCGATCCTCCGACCCCATCCATTCGGACCCCATCCAGGAGGCCTCTATAGCCATGGTCCCGGTGAAGCGTCTCGGTGTGCAGGACCCCCGGGGTCGTCCACCAGAATGGCTAGAGGTGTACGGCCCCTGACGCCATGGTTTTTGTCACAGCCCAGCCCCCTTCGAGTCATGACGAAATCACGATTGAGAGCTTTTCGTTGCTTTCGGCCTCTGAGGGCCCTTGCCAGGTCTCGGGGCGGTCAAGAAACGACTCAGGATGAAAACCCGATACGGGCAAATAGGTCGAGACGTTTGGAGTCGAGGTTATGACAAAATCATGACGTCGGGGGTCTGGGAACGTCGACCCCCAGAGGTCTCGACCCCTTCCCGGGGACTGGCTTTTCATCCCGAGTCGTTTCTTGACGGTCCCGAGGCCCCGTGTAAGGGCCCTCAGGGGCACAGAAATCGAGAAAAGCCGTCCGCCGTTATTTTTGTTCACGACGCGAGGGGGTCCGGGTCTTCTCTTCACGCCAAGAGGACCGGCCGGCGAGAGTGGCGCAAGACTGGGCTGACGGCGTCCTTCGAGATGCCGCCCGACCCATCGGCGGGCTGAGACCTGACGGCCACCGTCCGCGCGGCCCGACGGGTGCCTCCGCGCGTTTCGCGGGACCAAAAAGCAGAGAACGCGAAAAGCGACCAAAAGCAAATGCACGGTCGGGGACTTTTGCTTAGCGCGTCGCGCCCCCGGTTCTGGCCCACCACGCCTCGGCGCGACACGCTGAGCACGTGGCAATCCCCAAGCGTCAACGTCCCGAGCTTCTTCCTGGCTCCCGCCCCGCGGAGTGGGGCGACACGCCATCCGCTTGCAGGGGACAGCGGGACGCCAGGGCCGCCGACGCGACACGCTATCCAAAAGTTCCTGACCGCAGGCGCCGCCGCTGGGAGAACCACCTGCATGCTGCTGATTCGTGGCCCGCCCCTTTGCCGTCCTCGCCTTTTCTTTGGCCAGCCCCGATTCGCCATCGCCCTCGTCGCCGTCGTCGTCTTGATCGTATGCTTATGATGTTCCAACCTACTTTAGCCTTGACCGCCAGAAAGAGAACTTCGAGCACCAAGAGAGAACCGAAGCTGGAGGGCCCTGAAGGGCGACACCCCTGAGAAAGTATTCGCGCTTCGGGCCACAGAAGGCGATACTCGTTCGACATTTCGCCAGCGTCTCGCCAGGGTCCTGGATGCTCGAACTTAGTTTGGGGATGTGGCCCATGAGTGCGATTCGACCATCATAGTCGTATGCTGACATCTTCGGCCCGCCCTCGGGGCCCCGAGAGATCGCCTAAGAGACCCCAGCAGGATCCCAGGACGGGCCCCGTGGGGCCGGTCCTCGCAGCGCGGTCGGGAGTCTGGGTGGCTCGCGCCAAAGGTCGGGTGCCTCGGGCAGCGTCACGCGGGGAGCCCCCGAGGGCGCGCGGGAGCGCTCGGGGATTCTTCACCGAGCGCGTTCCACTACGGCCGGACCGAGGTACAAGAGGTCGAGGTCGTGTGAGGTCGAGGTCAATGTTCTTCGTGTTTGTTGGATGTTATTTTCCATCCCTGGGGAGGGTCCCCTCGGTGATCTTATGGTGTGGGGTCGGTTGGCCGGCGGAGGGTGACCTGAATGGCTTGGGGTTCACTGAGCGCGTTCCACACTGCTCGTAGTAAAGTGCCTACGTGCCCGCAGGCGTCAGAAGCACACACACACACACGCACACACACGCACACACACACACACACAAACACACACACACACACACACACACACACACACACACACACACACACACACACACACACACACACACACACACACACACACACACACACACACACGTCTGCCTCGACGTAATGGGTCGTAAATCCCCCGAGGTGGATTCCAGGCCCTGTGCGAGTCGTGGAACGGGCTTGACCAATTCTGGGAGTCTGGGGTCTTTGGGGTTGGAGCTGGCTGGGGGGCTGAGGTGGCCCAGCATTGCTTCTCGGCCAGCCGGACGGGGTGGATGAGGGGGCCCCCTCGCCGCCACGGCTGGGCGCGGCTCGAACAGTCTGTCAGTTTCGACCACGGGAGGGGTCCCGGGATCGACTTTGAGCGGGTTTGCCGTCGCCCCCCGCTCTTTGACCGACTTTCTCGGGGCCCGTCCAGCGCAGACCCCCAGGCCGCTACCACTCCACATCATCGAGGTCTCGAATGGGCCAGTGGGCAGTCTCGCGGATCCTCGCAGCACGTTGGTGCATTGCTTGCTGTCCAGGTGGCCTAAAGCCTAAAGTATAATGTCGCGCAGCGGCTGCCATCGTCTGCCGTTCCACATCGCGTCTCAATTCAAGCCACATGCAACCTGTAATCTTGATAGTCGCGTGACCTCTGCCAGAGCGTCGAACATCCCTCATAAGTGTTACGGCGCGCCGGGAAACTTGATTCTCGTGTTATGCCGCCTTCTGCCTCGTGTTTCTGGCGTTTGTGTGTGGCCCGCGTTTCGTGATTTCGTCGCACGTGTTCTTCTCAGCCCTCCAAGACTCGACAGGGCTTGAGCCAGCGGTGCGGGACGCCGCAGCGAGGCGCAGCGACGCGGTGGCACAGTGGGATGCCCGGCAACGCCGCCTCTGCAGCCGCGCGCCGCCTTTCTTCCACCAGCTTGCCCGGCATCCGGGTCACCGTCCCTGGCCCTCGCTGGCCATGAGTCGGCGGCGAGCGAGGGGGGGGCGTGAGAATGCGAAGGCCTTCTCAAGAGGCGGCGGGGCTTCTCAGAAGCCTTCGCGGCTTCTGAGAAGTACTCCGTGTCTTCGGGGAAGGCTCAGACAATCCCACCAGCCTTTTAGGGCGTGGGTTGTCTAGGGTGTTTGTCTTCAATCTGCCCCTCTTCCCCTTCGGGGATGGGTTACCCTTTCACAATTACACAATATGAATACTACTCTTCTCTCTCCCCTGGTGACGTCCGGGAAATGGCCGGCCCCCCTCCGCGTAGCATTCACACGATTCCCGGGAAACGGGTTTTCGCTTGGGTATTTTTTCAAAATGCTGTTCTCGCTGCGGCGCTGTCTTCATTTTCGGGCCACCGTGTTCCCGCTGCAGCGCTGGCGTCATTATTTCCAGCGCCATGCCACTGCATGGTTTGCGGTCCTTCCAAGTAGGCTCCGCTGACCACCGACAAGCGCCGGCAAGCAAGCAGCGCGCCCACGCCCTACGAGACGATTCCTCCCAAAAGCTATATGGAGATGCTTTCGTTGAGCATGTTTAGCAACAAGATGCTCAAGCACATTCTCTTGATAACTTTTGGAAGAGAGGACATCGAGCAGCTTTAGCAGCAACATCGGTGCTACCAGAGCCACCACGGGAGGCAAAACGGCCATGGATCACCCAAACAATTTTGGAGTTGGTTGAGACAAGAAGTGAAGCCCGACTACGCAACGACAAAACGACTGAGAGACAATTGCATAGAGAAGTTCGTAACTCTACAATTAACGGGCGAAGAACGGTATAAAATAAACTTTTTCGCCGTCGGGGACACCTGCCCTAGGGCGGCTGGAAAGTTTATACCCTTACGGTGGCACCGTGGGGGTATAAACTGTCCAGCCGCCCAGGGGCAGGTGTCCCCGACGGCGGACAGCTTATTTTATACCGTTCTTCGCTCGCTGATACAAGGCAAGACAAAACGAAATGGGTTGATGAGCAAATCGCCGACGGCGGTTGGAACATGCTGAAAAGATTTTGCTGGGCCAAGCCGCGCAAGCTGGGGAAGCTGCGGAATCTAGCAGGGGAGCTTGTTGATAACGAAAACAGGGCTGATTGTACGGCTGAATACCTAAAACGGGTTCAAAGGAAAGTCCGGGTCGCGGAATTGACGGATAATGAAGTATTGAGCCCTACTCTCCAAGTTATCGACGCGCCTTTCTCGCAGGCTGAGGTCGAAACCGCAGTCAAGAAGCTAAAAAGGGGGAAACCAGCAGGACCAGATGACATACCAACTGAATATTGGAAGGCTGTATCACGTAATCCTGGAGGGTTGCGCTGGCTTACGGATCTCTGCAACGCATGTTGGAAAGAAAAGGGCGCCCATACATAATGGAAGTTATCGGCTTTCACTGCAATATGCAAGAACAAAGGCGCAGTGGACAAATGCGAACATTATAGACCCATCAGCTTGCTGTGCGTAGCATACAAATGATTGGCAAGTCTGCTGCTCCAGCGCCTTCAAGATGCAGGAGCTGAAGAACGCCTCACTCTTACGCAATTTGGGTTACGCCGCCGGCGCGGTACCTCAGACGCTGTACACGCAGTCCGGCGACATATCGAAGCAGCTCACACACACGAATCAAATGGAGTGGCATTCCTTGCGCTGGATTGGAAAAAGGCTTTCGACTCGATCAACCCGGAGGCCCTCCTAAACGCATTACGGATATTTGGTGTTCTGCGATGGAGTCTGACGATTATTGGTCGCATTTACCAGGCGAGGCAGTTCTACATGACCGAGGGGGCGCACAAATCCCAGCAACGTCGCCAACGATCGGGAATCGCACAGGGCTGCCCTCTCTCCCCGTTCTTATTTGTCATGCTGATGACAGTGGTCATGAAAGACGCCACCAGCAGATTGGAACAGCATACCAAAGACGCACTTTCGGCGGGAGATTTGTCCGTATTGTTATTTGCAGACGACGCGCTAGTGGCGGGCCGTTCCCAACACAGACTGCAACAACTGCTGGGAGAAATCGTGGCTGCAGGTGCCAGGGTTGGCATGGAGCTGCGCTGGGACAAGTTCCAGCTGATGCAAACTAATTGCGACATACGCTGACGAACCCGGGATGGAAAATACATCGCTCCCAAAAGTGATATGGTTTGTTTGGGCGCCACTCTGAATAACAACGGGCAAATGGCATCGGAACTAAACAAAAAGCTTGGGGCGGCTTGGGGGGAATGTTGCAGAGAGTCTCGTGCATGGAAGCACGCGTCAATTACTACAAACAGGAAGTTGCAGCTCTCTCAGGCTCTGATAACCACCAAGATCACGTATTCCTTCAACTCTGCCTGGCTAAACAAATCTGAAAGACGGAGAATGGATGCGTTCCAAGCCTGGTGCCTCATGTGTCCAACCAGACGGTTTTGGACAAACAAACACATCAAATACTGTACAGCTCGCAGCTGCTACGGCATCAACTTCTTCAGTTTGGAAAGATTAGGAAAACTTGCGACGATGGCGTATTGAGAAAATCACATTCGTGCCCGGCTCGGTCCAATCAACTACCACCACATTGCGCAGGAGACCCGGAATGCCCAGGAACGAATGGGCGACGTGCTTACGTGATCGACTTGTGACCGGCTCAGCACGGAAGGGGAATTAGTGGAGTGCATGCGCGACGCCACAGATTTCATATATTTCGTTGAATTTTACAAACCAGTGAGGGTTTGCGTACGCTGCCCTGTTTGAGTGAGCCCCACTGCCCGCTCTTCCCCGCCCCTCCTCTTTTCCACCCGCACATGATGCAGTTGAACAATCGGTGGGCGCGCCGCTGCTCCCGCAAAGCGGAGAGTACAGGCCGGCATCGTTTTTGTTTCGCCTACGCGTTCCGGCGTATGGCTTGACTGACCAAGCAGGCTCCAAAATCTAGAAAATGCCCACCGGGAAAACCATCGAAAGTGATTACACGTTCGGTACCGATTCGGTGATTTTTGGGGTCGCCATGCTATGTCATGCGACGCGTTGATATCCAACACCAGGCTATGCCTTGTAGTGCT